ATCTCTGGAGATATAACATTTTATAACTTTCTAATTGTTAATTGGGTAATTCAGACAATTTGGCCCTATGAATCCTCCCCTGTTCACTCACCATGGAGGAAGGGAATCTATTCTCTTCCCCTTTGCCCTCATTTCATATTGACAAAAAACGAATAAAGCTACACAATCTGAGAAAACAATAGATTTGTCATGGATATAAAATTTATTGAGATCCACAGATTATTTTGTTGTATATTAGAGTTTAACCATGGTAATTTTTCCCCTAGGTTAATTTTATAAAATTGATCCCATGTGCTTCCAAGTTTGTAAAATAGCAGCAAGCAAACAATAAACAAACTTCAATCAGTGAAACATGTCACAACTAGTGGCTACAGAGCAAAGTGCATGCTTATGGCCTGAATCAAAATCCAGAATGGGAGCAGTTTTGCTTGTGAGTTTGTAAAACAGCAGCAAGAAATAAAAAGAAAAAGAAAAACATTAATCATTGAAACATGTCACACCTATATATCATGCTAGTTTTGTGATTATATTTAATCTGTAGAACACTACGGTTTATTTCATTTATAGTTTGGTACACATCCTGATAAGAATTGATGTTTTTGAGTTGTGGCGCTGGAGGAGACTCTTGAGAATCCCCTGGACTTCAAAGAGAACAAACGTGTCTGTTTTGAAAGAAATCAACCCTGAATGCTCACTGTAAGGACAGATCCTGAAACTGAGGCTCCAATACTTTGGCCATCTCATGAGAAGAGAAGACTCCCTGGAAAAGACCCTGATGTTGGGAAAGTGTGAAAGCAAGAGGAGAAGGGGACAACAGAGGATGAGATGGTTGGACAGTGTCATCAAAGCTACTCCGGGGGGCAGTGGAAGACAGGAGGGCCTGGCGTGCTCTGGTCCATGGGGTCACGAAGAGGTGGACATGACGTCAAAAAAAAAAAACAAAGAGTCGGACATGACGTAATAACTAAACAACAACACGACTAAACAACAACACATCCTGATAACATTTTTTCAAAAGATAGTAGAAAAGATATTGAATAAATAAGTGCCATCATTTGCAGTCTGTTGTCTTAACAAAGTAACCATCCTGTATGACACACACACAAATTCACACACCTCTAATGGGGCAGGAGGAACAGAAAACATCTGATATCTAAAATGGCTATGTTTAGAAATCAGTAGGAGACATTCTGCTTTTGGTGTTCAGGTCATAGTTATTTTTATTTACTGAAAATTAAAAGAATTATAAAAAGAAAATTCAAGTTTGAAATCAATGTACTAGAACTTATCATCAAGTTAAATCAGTAGGATTACAGTTGCCACTGTGACCAATTACAGTTACTGGATTTTATTTGCGGACATTTGATCATTGCTTTGAGATATGATAGACCTTTAGGGACAGGAGGATATTAAAAGTCCAAAATGTCCATGGTTGGTGGTAGCAATGTTCAGACATTTAAGACGCCTCACTCCTGTCCTGCTGTCTCTAAAGTTTCACCAAGACCAAAGGGATCCTAAGAAAGCCTAGGAACCTTTGAGGTGGTGGAGGGGGGAGGAGGAAAAAATTAATTACCAAAACACAGTTGCAGCTGATGACACCATCAGACTTATGCAGGGTAACTTTCTGTTACTGGATTTCAGCCAAAAGGTTTCATGGCTTTTTGTTCCCATTGTCTCTCTCAGACTCTATTTTAAGTAGCCTTTAACTGGGCAAGGGGGAACTCTCCCAGATTGCAGACAAGAACTATCCCGTCTTAGTTCACTAGTTCCCCCTGCTTTGTGTCTCTTGTGTATGTGCATGTCTTGAAGGCATCACAAAATGTTTTCTCATCAAATAACTGCAACGTTGCTTAACCAGTCTTTTAGTGGAAACCACCTGGCTCTGACATAACAGCATTAAAAGAGGAACATCTATAGTTAACAGTCAGTACCGTTATGTCAAATGATGCATTGAGAACACCAATAAATTCTTGTACTTTGAGACAATGTGCTTTTGTTCTTCTTCTTCCAAAGTATGACAAATGAAGCATTGATGAGTGAAACTAAGCACCAGCCTTTGCGTTTTCATTTTCATGGAAAGCAGTAAGCAGAACAGAGTGCGATGTCGCCATTTTCCACATGCACAGCTACTGTCACACGCTACTTTTTTCTTTTTCGCAACCTTGCATCAAACAAGTGTATTGTTTAATTGTTTGAGACAAGTAACTTTTCCATGCTCTCAATAACTGTTGTTGTTTGTCAAGAGTACTTGGCTTAGGATCACTCTTTTGCTCATTGGCACTCAGCCTGCATTGCAAATGATTAGTGTCTGAAACAAGCCAGTTGGCTGTTGTTAGATATGAGAGATCCATGATTTCATATGAGAAGCACAGGTTCTTTCCCAAGGATGGATAAAAGGGAAGCATTTATTCACAGGGCACATACAGTAGTTAAACTATGGAATATGTTTATCAGGTGTAGCAATGGCCACCAGATTGGATGGCTTTAAATGAAAATTGGACAAATGCAAGGGGGATAGGACTTTTGACTTCAGATTATGATGGCCACATGAAATGGAAGACAGAACTCTACCTTTAATGTTTGTATGGAAGAAGAAATTTCAGCATGTGTTGCAGCTCTTAAAGGTGCTGAGGGCCTGTTTTAAATGAAGCAGTTCTAAAGTATTGCAGCTAAGGGCAGCTCATGACTGAGGCAGGAGATCTCCCTCTCCCTGATGTTTGTTGGGGAGGTGGCCCCGTCCCAGTCCACAAGCCATGCCAAGGTAGCCCAAATCAGCTGCTCATGCTGATGGGACAACAGCAGGGATACAAAGAGCCTTTCGTATCATTCCTAGATATTTTCAGAAAACCATGCACAAGGCAGCTGATGATTTCCATTAAATGGTTTAATTTCACCACAAATCAGTGGGGAGGTGGTTCAGAGCAATCTCTTCATCCATAAAGTTTCTCCTTAATGATAAATGTGTAATTCATACACAGCGCCAGGTCCTTATAATAACCAGAGAATGCCTTAAAAACAAAAGTGTAAATCCCCTGTAACAAAAAGGAAAGGAAAGGAAAGAAGAGTTATATCTTAGTCGTGCACAGTATTTCTATTGTGTATTCTTCAGCAAAGATTTCATACTAGATAAGTCCTCCACCCCCAATTTGAGTCATCAGAGCTAAGAACTAGTTTAGAAGTACATGCTTAATTCACCTCTAATTAATTTTTTAGGGGAATATGGTATGGTGAGTCAGTGTTAAAAATGTTTTGACAACTATCTATTATTTGCTGATTACAGCTTTTAAGAGTTGTTCCAGAATTTTAGGGTCCTCCCCTTCAGTATGGGCCTTTATCAGAGCATGCCCCAAAGTGGTTCTGCCTACTCCTACTCCCAGAAACTGCAGCAGGGTTTCTGGGAGTAGGAGGAGCTGGAGGCCTAAATCTGACAGAGCTGAGTGCCTTCTGCCATTCACTCAAGGCTGGTACAGTATGGGCAAAAGGTAGCCTGCCCTATTTTCTAGGTAATGCCAGTGCTCTCACCTGCTAAGAGAAGAAAGTATCACACCTATTCACGGACCACCCAGGGACAAAATAGTTTTCAGCCCTTTTGCTGATATTGCCACCCACAAGCTGGTTCTTTGCTTTCTGTTGCTTTTGTTAGAACTGTTGCTTGAGATGACACTTGCCATTTTGCCTGACTGCTTTGGCTCTCATGAATTCTGTCCAAATATTCTGAGATGTGTTGATTAATTTGCTTCCCATTTAAAAGGCTTGATCCTGACCACTTTTTAAGGGTTTGTGTTAATGCCTGGAGAGATGACATCTCTAATGCTTCCTACTTCATAAAGGGCCCCACTGACAGAGATGCCCTGGATCTATTCTGCCTCTTCTTCATGCCTGTAACCTGCTGGTTCACCAACCTCTCATTCCATTGCAGACAACAATGGTGGTGAAAACAGAATCAGTAGATGCCACTGCCTATTTGTGCATGGGCCCTCTACCTAGCAGTGCATGCAGTGTATTACGACTGTAACCCTGAATGTGTGCAACTAGAGAGAGAGGCTGTCCCAGTTTGATTCAAAGTTTCCTGTGACAGTTAAATCACTGTTGTCAATCACACAGAATGCTTAATTATACTTAGCAATTTTCAGGGCAAGAGTTCACATCACACTTCAACTCGCTACAGTTCCCATCAGAATAGGTTGCACACTCTCCTCTTTTATTAATACCATTCTCTTCGTGCCAACCTAGCAGTTCGAAAGCATGCAAATGCAAGTAGATAAATAGGTATCACCTCGGTGGGAAAGTAACAGTGTTCCGTGTCTAGTCACGCTGGCCATGTGACCACGGAAACTCTCTACAGATAAAACGCTGGCTCTACGGCTTGGAAACGGGGGATGAGCACTGCGCCCTAGAGTCGGACACGACTGGACTAAATGTCAAGGGAAACCTTTACCTTTACCTCTTCAGTACCTCTTTTTAAAAAGAGAAAAATATGACACATATTATAGCATGGAACTGATAAAACAATGTGGGTATCTGCAATGCTTTATCTGAGATAGCACAACATTGGAAAAGCATAATAAAATAAAATAGTTCAAGGAGAATCAAAAGGCACTCACTTGAGGGGAGTGTTCTCATTGTATAATACAACAGGAACCTCCCTTTCAAGTGAGTGTCATTTTTTTAAAAAAGGAATAGTCCATTGTCGACATCACCCTAGGACACTAGTGCAATTGCTCTTTTGGACTGATAATGTGGATCATATCATGCCAGGCACTGAAAAAAAAAGGAATCTCTACCACCAAAAACAAAACAAAACAAACAAAAAACACTACACACGCCAAATGAATATAAAGCAACAAATGCCCATGAAAAAAGTCTGGTCTTATTCATAATTAACTGTACATCATGGAATAAACAGAAAAAATACATCAGAATCAACCACCCCAACTCCAGCACAAACTGGAGGATAAATTGCAGTGTAAGCACACTCTGAGCTTAATTCTAGATGGCTCTTATATTTTTAAAAACATATATTAGTATTAGTAATTTTGCTAAAATTTGCAACACAATATTTTTATTTCTGAGGATTCAGATGTGCAAGGTACCTGGTCATATGTTGGCTGAGCACCACTGATTCTTACAGTTGTATTGATTGTCTCTGTAGAAAAGGAACAATTATCAGGAGCCTGACCACGGTAAAATGAATATCATATCATGATTTTTGTGCATCTCAAAATGTCACTCTTTTGGGCAGGTCTTAAGAAAATTTAAATACAGAAACAGGACAAACTGAAAGGAAAAGATAGGAGAGAAGTAAAGGAGAAATGGTGTGTATCAGATGTATACCTACATGAAATATGATAAACAAGAATTACAGCTTATACTCTACTATAATTTCATGAAAGGTCAACAGTAAAACTATGTGGTCAAACTGTCATTGTATGGCAACTTAAATTCCACCATATGAAGTTTGACTGCTGTGGCAAATGATTCACATATAGCTGGTTACTATCTGAAACATCCAATTTTCAAAATGATACTGGTAAAATCTGGTAAAAATGTGGAGGTACCCATGTGCAATGCTGTCAAGCAGCCCAAACCAATTTGCTACCTTAGATGGACAAGATGGCGTCATATTCCATTTCAAGTACAGAAAGTAGAGTGATAGATAAATCATACTTCAACCATGATTGTGGTTGTCCAATGTTATCCAATTCTCCTGTAGGCCACATGGCACATGCTCTTCTAGTATACTCTTTCTCCCCAGGATCTGATCACTTGAGGTAGCTGCCTCATTCTGTCCAATGTTAGGGCCAGTCCAAGGATCACCAACTTCTATAGTTTGCCCAGACATCAGTCTCCATCTCATTGTTTGACTGTATAAGAATGATACAGCTTGATTGGTTTGTTACAGAAAGCAGTCGTCCATCTCATTGTTTGACTGTATAAGAATGGTTGGTTTGTTACAGAAAGCAGTCACTCATGTGGTTAGTTATTGAAGGACCCTACCCATATCTAAAAGGCATGACGCTCATGAACTTTGGTACGAATGGCATCCCACTTACATCTAAAGTGTGGCATTGCACAATACTGTAGAATGTACTATTTGTTAACATAGGACTGTTCTTGCTCGGCTCCTTTGGTCCAACAGCATCATCACCAGAACCATAATTTAATCCTATTAGGCTTGGATCCATAATTGAAGTCAGGGAGAAAGATCAGATATTGTCTTCACCATCTGCAATCTTGAAATAATATATATGCTCCAGTTTGTTCCCACTTAGTTACCATTTATTTCTTAGAACCAGAGACAAAGCCTTAAAAGTCCCCACTGTTGACATGCTATGCTTCTGTCAAGTTTGAAAGTCATAGGTCAAGAATCTTATTGGTAGTAGCAACTTACTAATGTAGCAAATAAAGAAGAAACTCATTTTGTGGGTTTTACCAGATTTCATACAATTACTTTAGAAGAGAAATGGAATTACCTGATCCAAACCAAGATTAAAGTTTTGTGGCATGATAAAAACCTGCACATACTGTATACTGTTCTACTGAACATTTTGTGGCACCTTAAAGGTTTACAACAGCAGGATTACAAAGAGTATTAGTGTAGCCATTGTAAGCAGGTCAGCAGAGGACTCTATAAACTATACTTACCTCCCTTCAGAGCTCCACAAAATGAATATCCATCATCCACACCTTTGCAGATAACAGACTTCCATTTTAGAGAATTTACACCTCCATACCACAAGCTTGTATATGAAGTCAAAACGGTTATATCAAACTCTATAAAAACAAAACCACAGGAAGCAACATGTGACACTGCAACATAGGCTCAAGGTGGCATGGAAGCCTCTCCACAGCCCACCCTCCATTTTATCCTTACAATAATTACTGTGTAAGGCTGAAAGAGACTGACCGGCCATAGGTCACCTAATGTGTTTCATGACTCATTACTCACTGGGCTCAACAGCATCTCCAAAGTTTCAGTCCAGCAATAACTAATATAGCACACTTGCCCTTCCTTATGATGTGATCTAATATGGTTTCTAAGCTTATTCAAGTTCATAGGAATTTTGACAATACATTTTATCTGAAATCTATATCCTTGGCTAAATAATGTATGAACTAAAAACACATTTGTAAAATCATTTATGAAGGGTACCAACACAGCTAGAGGGATTAAGATAAATTTTTTGCTAAATCAAAGTACATACTATTATACTTTCAATGAACCCTTGTTATCGGTCAGTTATTTTACTTCATATGAAATTAGGGAACTAAAATGGTTGTTCAGCCTCATGTCTCAACCTCTGTATACCCACAAAATTATTTAGGACTATGAATGCAGACAAAGAGTGCTAAAGCAGTTTAGAATGTTTATTATAAAACCTTAATTTTCCATAAGGCAATTATTTTCTAAATTCCCTTTCCAGTAGCAAATACAGGATGAATATAATTAAGTTGCAGGCCTATACACATTTATTTGGGAATAACCGCCACTGAACTCACTGAGACTTACTTCTCAGTTAAGATACAGGATTGTGCTGTTTTTATTTCATTTTAATTATTAATTTTCATTTAATAACTAGCTTTTTGAAATTTGACAAACATGACCGATCCAGCAAATAGCCTTTTGGTTAGCATGGTACACACTAACATTCAGTATTTAAGAGTGCTTCTCAAGAAAAAATAAGACAATGCAACCCTTGAACATTCTTCATATTATGTGAAATGTAGGGAAATGTGGTGGCACTGCGGGTTAAACTGCAGAAGCCTCTATACTGCAAGGTCAGAAGACCTGAAGTCGTAAGATCAAATCCACACGACAGAGTGAGCTCCCATTGCTTGCCCCAGCTCCTGCCAACCTAGCGGTTTGAAAGCATGCAAAATACAAGTAGAAAAATAGGTACCACTACAGTGGGAAGGTAACGACGTTCCGTGTCTAGTCGCGCTGGCCACGTGACCACGGAAGATTGTCCTCGGACAAACGCTAGCTCTATGGGTTGGAAATGGAGATGACCACCGCCCTCTAGAGTCGGACACAACTGGACAAATTGTCATGGGGAACCTTTACCTTTTACCTTTAGGGTAAATCAATGCCTAGAAAAGGGAACATCATGCAAACTGGCTCTCCATGTGTTGACTGTGTGTTTTGTACAAAGTTTAGGCACACATGTATCCATGGGGATAAAGTGCCTTTGTTTATGAACTGATTTTCAACAACTAACTGCTTTCTGGCCATAATTACGAAAGCCTTTTTCTTCTGTCTGAGCTCTAACACTATATGGGCTGAAATCTTAGCATACTAAAGTGCCCATAGGAGTAGGCCTATTGAACCAGCAGGGATTTTGTGAGTCAACTTCTTCGTACATTACAGTGATTCAAAATGGGTTACTGTTCTTGATTTACATTAGCATAGTAAGTTTCAGCTAGAATCAGCATTCCATCTAAGTTGCACACATGCAGTGCTGCATCAATCTCACACAGCCATATCGACATTGCTGCCCATTTATGCCTGGTTGCCACCAGAGCCCTGCGCAGCACTATAAAAAATTAGAGGGAGCATTGGCTAGAATTTATGGAGGAGTTGACTTACCAAGTCTCCACTGACTCAGTGGGTCTACTCTAGTGCAAAACACTATGCTACACAACAGAATTTGCTTCTTGCATGTTGACCTATGGATATAGCATGAAGTGCTATAGGACATGGGTTGGGTGAGTGGCCACAATTAGGTGGTTCCCCTTCCACAATTGGATGCACATTCCACTAACTCAAAGACATCATCTGATATCATGCAACCAAGGGATGTATAAAATGTTCAAACTGAAAGATATCTGCTTGCAACAAAGTAAAACAGTGATGTTATTTGAAATATAAAAACAACTTACTTGGAATCCAGAACATAAAACCCATCCATACAGAAACCTTTAATGAACAAGGCTTTACTGTAAAAAAGAACGTACTGGTTCCAGGACCTGTGTGACAATACAAACAAATAAATAATGTCATAAAACTTGTGTTGGGTGTTGTTGTTTTAATGATGATTTGATTGTGTCCGCTAAGGAAAGGGAAATCTAATTCATTTTATCTTTGAAATTAACATGACTAATAGTTTGGAATATGTCCATTGTCCACTCAGTATGTACATGAAACTTTTGTACAGAATTCTGCTCATATACATATACAGTATGTGTCATATTTAAACACAGTGATTATGGAATCCCATAAAAGGGTGTCAGTGCATGTTCCATTTATTTACTAAATTATATCCTACCTTTATAAATTCTTCTAAGGAGGCATTTAAGCAAATTAAATATATAGAGTTGAAATATCTTCATCTCATGCCTAAAGACTGGGAGGGAGGTGACTTAAAAGGATCCCTGGCCCAAAGAGCTCTACTGCTGTGGAAGCCCGCTCCCAATTTTTATTAATTTATTGATCAAATTTGCAGGAACAGAAAAGATGGCTGCCAGTGAACAGGTTGCCCCCACTGACAGGAGTTGTCTTCATACAGCTTGTTCCAGACTGCTCCTGCAGTTTCACCCTTCCCAGCCTGAAAGCAGAGATGGGCATTATCAGGAGATTCTGCCATGGGCTGCAATAGGAACAGAAATGGCTGATTTTGTTCTCTTTTTAAAAGTTCCTTTTCTTCTTGCGGGAAAGGTTGGGGAGCTTTGGGGAGTTGTGAAACCCTTGTCAGGCCACAATAGTTGGCCAGTAGGATATTGTTTTATCCACAAGCAGAGGCTGGAATACTTAATTTTTTAAAATGATAACCCCCAACAAAGCCTTGAGTCAGAATGGCCAGTTTTAATTAAGCTGCTTTTCTAATCACAGGTTTATCTGTCACTCGTTGATTGGGTTGCCATAACAAAACATTTACTCTGTCATTGTTTTCTGCTTTAAGGCAGATGCTGTTCCAATTGTACCTGTGGCTTCTGTGGAGACTGTGGCGGCTGCAGAGTTCCCCAGAAATGGGGTATTTTCAGTTTCTACTGCAGTTGGCAATTTCCCACACATTCTTCTTGGACATCCTGCTATACAGTAGTTCCGAAAAGCTCCATGGTAAAAATTTGATGTTCACTCCCTTCTCCCATGCCAGGGGTGGACAACTTCCAGTGATCCAGGGGGCACACATACTTCCACACACATTGCAACTTTCAAAAGCCCCTTGTATCCTTTTGGGGGAAGAAGAGCAATTTTACCACATTGCCTTCCCCATCTTGTTTTAAATGTGGACGGGTGCATATTTTTCTCAAAGCCAGAAGTGATTATAGAGACTTTTTTGTTGAAAACAAAATGGGAAGGGTGATAAGGGTGACTTAACAACCATATTTTGACCACTACTGTCCTATATTCTTCTGGCAAAGTATGGAATTTGTGGGGGCTTAAAAACCTCTAGCTATGCAGTGGAGAAAAGTTCAGGGACCTATAGAGGAGAATTAGCTTCAAGTCCCCCCAAACTAGAGTATTCCTTTTTGATTTTTTTCTACTGAGCTGGCACCTCAATGACTTACTCCATAAGAAAGTATTGTATTGATGTGGAGTAAAATGCAATGAAAACTTTAATTATGCTGGTGTTTACTCTGTGATGCTTATTTCAAACACACAACCCATTCTTTGAGGATAGAGTCACATATGACTTCACTGCCAGCTTAGACTTGAATCTAGGTCTTTCCAATTACAACCTGGAACATAATATGACTCAATGTAGATAGAAAATACATCCGTTTCTGCTTCACTCATTGATTTATGACAGTATCTGTTCAACTGCAATAATAATTCAGATTTTTTTTAAAAAAACCCACTTCAGTAACCTTCTCCTTCATGGATTGCTGGATTGCTGCCTTGCTGTGATGAAGGGGCTTGAGTAACTCAGAGAAACTATGGGCTATGCTGTGCAGGGACACCCAAGACGGACAGGTCATAGTGGAGAGTTCTGACTAAATGCAATCCACCTGGAATGGTTTCAATCAGGTTGTCTAGCCTGGGCATTGGGTAGGCATCAGGAGTGGTTACACGGTTTAATTTCCTGTAATCAAACAAAAGGCTAAAAGATATGACGCTGGAAGATGGGCCCCTCAGGTCAGAAGGCATCCAACATGCTACGGAGAAAGAGCGGAGGACAAGTACAAGTAGCTCCAGAGCAATGAAGTGGTTGGGCCAAAGCCAAAAGGACACTCAGCTGTGGATGTCCCTGGAAGTGAAAGGAAAGTCCGATGCTGCAAAGAAAAATACTGCATAGGAACCTGGAATGTAAGATCTATGAACTTTGGTAAACTGGAGGTGGTCAAACAGGAGATGGCAAGAATAAAGATTGACATCCTGGGCGTCAGTGAACTAAAATGGACAGGAATGGGTGAATTCAATTCAAATGACTATCATATCTATTACTGTGGGCAAGAATCCCGTAGAAGGAATGGAGTAGCCCTCATAGTTAACAAAACAGTGGGAAAAGCTGTAATGGGATATAATCTCAAAAATGATAGAATGATTTCAATACAAATTCAAGGCAGACCTTTCAGCATCACAATAATCCAAGTTTATGCACCAACCACCAATGTTGAGGAGACTGAAATTGACCAATTCTATGAAGACTTACAACACC